TCAGTTAGGCAGGATGTGCACCTAGCCAGCTGAAAAGAACATTATTTCCTTGTCTGTTCTAGCTCCTTTTTCTCCTAATCTCCGTAGTATTTCATCCACAGTGTGGAGCCAAGTACGCCTGTTACGCATGCATGTGATTGCAGCAAAAGACGAGCTATACGACGCTGCAAGACAAATAAGGCCACGGGCCTGGGACAAAATACACCAGCGCGTACCCAAAACAGCTAAGATCTGATCGTGCGGCAGATGAAGCAAAGTGTCAAAGATGACAATTCGCTTCCACCGCCAAAAACCGTAGAAGTATGCGTTGCTATGGCTCGAACGCTTCGAGCCATCCATCTCGTACACCTCGCACAGAGGGAACTTCAGCTGCTCAGCCTGCGGAGCACCAGCAGTAAGCCGCAACACCCAAAATAATCACAGACGCAAGCAGGCGCACCTTGCAAGCAGCAAAAGATGGTTGCAAGAACACAGAACAAGCAAAAGAAAAGTCAATCGTGGAGGCGAAGGCACCCGTCTGTTACACCGCTTTGTTCCCAACTGCCATTTATTCCGCCGCCTGTCATTCGTACCAAGGCGTTAATTTTGTTCCTGAGTTCTCTGTCCCTTAGCACTTGGAACTTGTTGAACAGGGGAGCAATCAGATTCGGATAGATGACTATCATTCCGAATGTCATCAACACAGTAAAGCCCCACAGCTGTACACAAGCACACAAAGCAAGACCAAAATTCTTGGCCTGATGTCCCAAGTCGAAACTAAATGAAGTTGAGGAGTCGAAGAGAACGACAACACTGGATGTGCAGACGCAATACGAAGTAGAATTCCAGAGAATAGAAGTACAGTACAAAAACAATGGGATGGTGGTACCCTGAAAGATCCAGTGAAAGCATCTACATGATGAAGAAGTGACGTGTCATACCCAGAGGTGGAAGTTAGCCCCTCCCCACTTAATAAGCCAGTTCACAGCACACAGAATGGGCGCCCCAATTGCCGCCGTGAGACCCAGGCCGAGAAGTTTGTCTTTGATAAACAGTAGCATCGTCTTCTTATTGAAACCATGTTTCTCCTCTACCCAGAAGTCGCCGTATAACTGAAACGGGGTGCAGATTATCTCGGACACCACTCGCTGTATGCCCATAAAGGCCAACGGGCGAGCGTAATCCCCGTCTCCCGCCCATGTCCCGGCGATTCGCCAACAGAAGGGACCAAAAAAATACAAAGTGGAAAGGATAGNCCGTCTCCCGCCCATGTCCCGGCGATTCGCCAACAGAAGGGACCAAAAAAATACAAAGTGGAAAGGATAGAAACACCCGATCCAACGAGAGAAGAAACCATGGACAGTTTTATCTTGTCGCTATTGTACGCATTTGCTTGGCTGTAGGCCTCCTCTGACAACTGGAAACCTGGCAAAGACGGAGGCTTCTTCTTGTGTGTATATCGATGCAGCTGCCGCAGGTTTAAATATTGCTCAAAAGCCTCTACTGTCAACGAAAAGCCCACATACACATGCAACCACGGCACATCTGAGAACCAACCACCCGAGAAGAACCACATCCTGGCTCAGCACGGGCGAACAAGTATGCGACGAGAAACAACAAACTATTAATTTACCCCTTTACTCCTTAGTACTACGCATGCCGTAGAATAGAAACCTTGAATACAAGGCTTGAGCCAATGCAGAAGACAACTACCGCCACAACGCATGCAACTTTTCACTGCAGTGAGGCGCTGTGGCGGTCGCAAACAGCCGACGTTCCCGAGCATCCAAACTTGGTCTATTTGTCATGTTTGCTTTATTCAAACGCTCTCTTTGTGTTAAGTGGGCGTGTGCAAGGAAGTTTCGGTGGTCGTGTGACTGGACAGCTTCACTCCCGTCCTGTATGCTCTGCCGAGAGCCCGTACATGTATTTCTACTATTTCTGCTCAAAGGAACTTCAGTTGTGCATACCCCGTTGAAATCCCGTACATGTATTTCTACTTCTGCTCAGGATCCCTACTGGCGGCCAATTCAGTGTTTTACGACTGTCTACAGTGCTAGTTCATGTGTAAAGCGTGCCTTCAGGGCATATTCACGACGGAAGCGAGCTGCAATGAAGGTAAATACTTGAAGAAAAAGTTACCCAAACCAGCTAACCTCCTTTTCCCCGTAGCCAGGCTTCCTGGGTGTTCAACTGAGGGCCTGGGGTTGGGGTTGTGGGGTTGTCTCCCGACCATCGAAAAATTACGGGTGCCGGGAAGCCGAGGCGGTGGAGGAGCTTCTCGATTCTCTCCACCTATGTCTGCGTCTTCAAAATGCATCGGAGGAAGTACAACTGCTATTGGCATATTCTGCGTCAGAAGAGGCTGCGACGATGTTGGCTACAGCTAAGCATCGGTTCTGCTTTACCAGAGCACATCAGACGCATGCAAGCCTTCCGAGATGCTCTGGGATGCAGGTGTATTCCGACGTCGGCAAGGGCACAGGCTATGGCAGGATTACAGACACTTGCACAAATGTCTAGAGAACGTTACGTTGGGCAGTACCAGGTATTGGTGACTGCGTTGTAGACGAGACCGCAGATCTCTAGAGAACGTTACGTTGAGCAGTACCAGGCATTGGTGACTGCGTTGTAGACGCAGTCACCAATGCCGCGTAACAGGGGCAGCACGTATTCCTTTAAGTTCCGATGAAGCACCCAAACATTTCAAGGGCAGATCGAGCCTGTAACTTCCTTACAGGCATTCCAGTGTATGCAATTCTTATGGTGAAATACTGAGCTTGATTTCCTGTAGACGGGCGGCAAACTTCGTGGGCCAGACGTAGGCCTTGCTACAAATATCCTTTACTTAGAATGTCTGACAGCGTGGGGACAAAAGCCAAGGCCAAGTTCGTCTGATGCAGATAAGAGCTGTAAAATATAAAATCGGTGAACTAGTTGAACAAGCCACCCCAAAACGTCCTCCGCTTTTCTTAAGGTGCTTCGTAATTGATGTGGCACTCTGACAGAGGGATGCTGTTCATTTTCTGTCCTGTGTGGATCCCCACCTACCTCTGCGAAACCTGGCAAGAGACCCGCCTTTCAGAACTCGAGGGGAAGGTCCGCCTGTCTCCTGCCATCATCCCCGCATTCAGCGGCTTTAGAGACAGGGAGAGCCTGGCGAGATATTGGTTTGTGGAGAAGTCCTGCTTCTCTTGAGACAGCCGTCTTGCATTCGCTAGCTCCACAAGTGTCCTCCTGATGGCCTTCTTCGCTTTTTAAGCCGGGGCTCATTTCTGTGACTCTGATCTGCTTCCTCCGCTGGCACAGCTCGACGATTCGCCGCAGTTGCTGCTGCGCTCCTAGCCGTTGCCTCCACTGTCCTCATGAGCCCTAACTGGGCCATTTCTAAGCCCGCCTTCTCCTCCGCTACGGCGGCGCGTAGATATTCCATATTCACCGCGAGTTGTGCCACTTCCCCCCTTACTGCCCTTCCCGCAGCACAGCCGGTCTAAGATTGCCGCTCTCTAGAACGCAGTCCTACTACGAATTATTCTTCTATAAGCCCCAAGTCCACAATTCGGTTTCCGTTCATCCAGGAATGAAGCTCTAGGAGCCGCTTCCCCCCTTTATATTCTCTTAACTTTCCGACTGCCTGTTCACACGCCGGCCTGGGTATAGGCCTGCAACCAAACGTGTTCCAAAAAAGTGGCATGCTTGCTTACGTATAGTCTCTATTGCTGTGCGTTTCTTTTTCACTGAATCCAAAAATAACATCAATCATTCGGAAGACAAACGAACAACTTCATGGAGGCAAGGCATCCCTCCCCTGCATCAGTATCGGGGAGCCTGCCACACTTGGACGAAAGGCGATAGCTGAAGCGTTGTTCATTGGTTTGTTCGTGAAATGATTGGTGGATCGATGAGGCGAGGACGCTGCTTCTGTTCGAGTGCGATAAGCGAGTTGTTAAGTGAGTTGTTAGTCGTGTATGCAGCGTGTTCTGCCTGCCGATAGCTCAGGAGCATTCACTTGACCTTGGCAGGTTGCCTCCAAGTGAATACGATCGCTTCATCGGTATATACAGAGGTAAGACAAGCAGTAAAGGAAGCTTCGTTGAAGCGTCCTTGCGTGCACACGTGAGTCTGGGTTGAGTCGCCAGCCGGAGCGAGGTGAGCTGCAAGTCCACTTAGGCTGCCTTCTCCCCGCAACACCCAGTGTGAGAAACTCCCCTACATCAGGCCAGTTAAGGAGAGTTTCGGGCCTTAAGCGTGATATGGCTTACGGAGCTTGACCTTACACTCGTCAGCGGGTGCACCAAACAACGTCCTCAGCGCTGCGTCTTGTGCCCCCTACGAGAACACAAACGCAGACTAAAGCCTAACCGTGAGATCTAGTAGGTATCTAAGTTCTTTCACACGATGGGCGATGTGAATGCATAAAAATGGGGGTAGTGTGGGCCCAGGGAGCTGATGATTTGTGGGCTGAACTCTCAGTCCCTCACATGCTATGCCGAGATTCGTTCACGTTAATAAAGAATATTACGCTTTAGTGTAATATTTTCAATAAGCATGACATTTTGATGGGCTGCTCCTCTGAATGAGTATTGTGGGGCGCTGCCGGCCCGTCATACTCAGAATTGGGGTGCTTTGAATCCGACTGCTGAGTATAACGGGCGTAAGGTAACTGACACCCCTACGTGAACGCCCTTATGCTCCAGATACTCACACGTCCCAATGGATTCAGCAAAATAACAATCCTAGCAAAGCTTAAAAAAGGTTTCTTGCCTTTTTTTTCTCTCAAAGAATTGTTCTGTTTGCAACCCTACTAGACCCGGCCCTGCGACCTTAGGGGATGGGAGGTGAGACGGCCTGGCATGTTGCAACAACTTTTGCGCCAAATCTCATGCGAGCCTCTCCTATACTCATAACAATAAGCCTCTTTGTAAACAATATATGGTAGATTCATCCATTATCTACTCAGTAAATATCAATATGCACTCACACACATTTCCATTGTCCAGTCAACCCTCACTCCTGGAAAACGAGCACGGCAATGTTGCCGTGATTGCAGTGAGTATTAACTGCACTGGGTGCTGCAGGGAGGAGGCAGCCTGAAGCGGACATGCAGCGTACCCCGCTGCAGCTGGTGATACCAGCGAGCCTTACGCGCGCGCACAAGGAAGCTTCAACGAAACTTCCTTCACTGCATGCTTTACCTCCGAATACACTTACAAAGCGTTTATATTAGCTTACATGCAACATACCAAGTCCAAGTGGAGGCTCGTGTGCTAACAGTAGGCAGACCATGCTACGTCACGCTACAGTTGCAGCTCACGACGGTCCTCAAGTAGGACCAAGGACTGTCGTTTCAGTGCGAGGCAACCCCACATGCAAATACTCGCATCGTTTCTTTGCCTGTACTGCAGCTCGCTACTGTGCTCACGGAATGTCAAGGACTCGATATCTTGCAAGGTAACCCCGTATGGAAACGAGCTGAAGACCTTTTCCCATGCATGCGATGCCGCTGTACAAAATTGTTAAGCACTTACTGCGCTCTCACTAGCCAGCTTTTGAGCAAGCCGAGCTCATCTACCCGCGCCGGCGTAGTGCTCAGAGGCTATATTTTAGTGTCTGAGCAATAGAGCTCAAGTGGAACCCTCAGAAAGCTTTTTAGATGGGAAAGAACAAATACAATACTAACAGATATAAATGGCAATACTTTTAGATAGAGATTTAAGATAACCAATTCAAGAATGCTCAACAGCCACACCAGGTAAAGGCTGGCTTGAGGCTGTTGCTGCGGTTGAGACTGACTGTGTAGTGCTCTAGCACTACAAGTACATGCTATTATTACAGTTAGATAAATTAGAAGATATAAGGAGCGAGGACGAAATAAGTATGACGGAAACTA